GGGAGTTTTAGTCCCAAAATACAATAGTGAAGGAAGAAATTGCCCTACTGGCTGTAGAAAAGTGTTCAGGACATTTAACATCTTTTATGATAACCGCACATCTGAGTAAAGAAAGAGAATTCTTAATCCCCCCCCAAAAGGTATCTAAAACATTAGAAATCATATATTAATTGTATATTTTTCATATAGTGTGAAATGTGTTAAAAGTCTTGTAAGGCAAATAAAAACAACCTTGCTATGACTATATAGCAGTATAATACAACTAATTATAATTGCAAGATAAGTAAAAGAATTAAACGATATAAGAATTTGAAAAGAAGAAACAAACCATTATTCTTAGTTTATGTCATCTTCTAATTAGGAAACCCAGAAGAATGTGTTAATAATATTTTAATTAGTAAAAGGATACAGTCAGATTTTTATTAAAAATTAATTTACAAAGTATGTATAGAAACACATGCTTTTCAAAAATCAATGAAAGAATGCAGTCCTGACAAAGGTTCCATGTAAAATGGATACAGCCCTATAAGCACTAGGAATAAATCTATGAACGACATCTCACTCTGTAATGTAAAAGTATGAAACTTTTTGAGAAGACATAAGGAGACACAGAATAAATGTAGAGTTATGTTTTACTCAACTAAATTCAATCCTTTGAAAACTTGAATATTCCATAAACAAATGAAATTCTAACAAAAATACCTGCAAACATATAGTATCAAACACTGAATTAATCTCTGAAGCAGAATGCAGGCCCAACTTTAGCCAAGATGTCCTCACCAACCAGATCTGAAAACTGTATTAAAGCAAGAGTTAATAAAAGCAATGTGTGGTATTAGATTAAAAGTAGGAAAATAGGCCAGGAGTATAAATAAGCGATCACAGACACAGATCCAGCCATATTAAAAATATTATTTAAGTCAGAGTACTGAAGACAGGGCCATCAAATTGGTTCCCTCTCATAGTGACTCTGTTTCCAACAGAAGAAAACGCTGCCCGGTCCTGAGCTGTCCTCACCAGTTGTCCACTTTGAGCTCACTGCTTCCGCCGCTGTCAATTCATCTTATTGAAGGTTTTCCTCTATTTGCTTCTCCTTCACTTTACCAAACCCCAGGGACTGGTCTCTCCTGATAACATGTCCGAAGTCCATGGGATAAATCGTCCTAAACCTGGATGCTC